CCCGCCGGCCTCTCCCTTCCCCCACCCGGGCACCCGCTCCCCGCCTCCGTCCCCCTGTTTCGGCTTCCTCTCTTACTCCTTCCCGCCCCTCCTCTCTTCCCGACCTCGCCAAACTCCTCTCGTGGCCCCACAGTCTCTCACCCGGGCCACCGGCCCCCCACCCCACGACCCCCGGAAAGCGGACAAAAACGGTCCCGAGGCCGGCCGGCTGCCGGGACCTTCCCTCCCTGCCCCGCCGTGGCGCCCCGCGCCCCCGCCCTGCCCTCCTTCGCCTCCCGGGCTACTCCCTCCCTGCCCAGCGGAGAGCCCCGGGGGGCGAGGGAGGGGCCGCTCTCCTAGCTCCAGACCGTTTTCCCACAGCGTTCCCCACTTGGGGCCAAAAATAAACAAGCCGCGTCCGATTTGCAAAAGCCTTAATGGGCCTGCAGACTTTGAAAAGCGAGTGGAGGGTGGTGGGCGGCCGCGTGCGCCCCTGGTCAGTGCCCTCCTGACAGCACCCGAGTTCCTTATTTACACTGGCTGCATGGTTTGTGTGTTTCTGTTTTGTTTCCCTCCCCCTGCAGGGGCTGTTTGCGGGGTGGGGTGGGGGGTTCGCTATGTCGGATGACGATTCGAGGGCCAGCACCAGCTCCTCCTCATCTTCGTCTTCCAACCAGCAAACCGAGAAAGAAACAAACACCCCCAAGAAGAAGGAGAGTAAAGTCAGCATGAGCAAAAACTCCAAACTCCTCTCCACCAGCGCCAAGAGGTACCGTACTCTTTTTTTTTTTCCATAGGCTTCCTATTTTCCGAACTGCCTCTTGCTGTATTTGGTCTGCCTCCCAATGAGGATAGCTTAAACGCTCCTCATGGTTTATGTGTTCTTAAAAATGAAAGAAGGGCCTTGGAAGCCCTAATTATTTTCTCTATTGCTGCTTCTGTTTTTTTTTTAAATCATTGCTCACATGCAGCTGTTGTGGCTTGCCTCTCGCATTTCTTGCTGAAGTTTGTAAGAATCTTCATTACTTTTATTAGTGACCCCCAAATCTGATTTCAGATTTCTTGTCCTACTAATGGTCGATCTGTGACCTTCCCCAAGGCCATCATCCCATTTCTTAATTACTAATACCAGCCCAGACAACTGCATCAAAATGAATTCTGTGACCATTTTACCTTCTCACCTGTTGCATGGATGATCTTTTCTAAATAGAGCTTTCTTCACAAATTGCATAAGGAATAAGAAACTTGTATTAGCAGGTACAAAATTGAGTAGGTGAAGACATGTTTTATGGTGGAATTTAAAGAGATTTTTCTGAGAGTTGAGGCAAATGAATGAATCAGTAAGTGATTATAAAGTAGTTATTCTAGGTTATTTTTGTGGTTCTCTTTTGTTCTCTTTAAAAACTTCAGTTTACCAAATTTCAGGGAAACTTGTCTTTTTTTCATGCTATTTGCTGTCCTCATGCTGTGAAAATGTTACGTTGCTTTATTTTTTCAATTTAAGCAGTCTCTCTTTTTCTTTATTCTTTTCCTCTTAAGGCTCTGGAGGTAGCTACTTGTTACTCCTGCCATCCTTCAGTAATACCCTCTGATCGCCATGACCCTTAAAATAATCTTTAGTGGATTCCTAGGAGCCCTGAGACACCCTTTCATAAATCCTTCTGCTATCAGAGTTAGGCAGTTGTTAAAAAGGTGGCAAACCAGGAAGATAGTAAGAAGTCCAAATGATGGGTTAGATAGGGATACCTGTCTTAAAAATTTTTGAAATAAAGTGGAACATGAGACTTTAGAGCTCTCCACTGAGTAGTGAGCCTGAAAGTCAGGGTTTGAGAGTTTGTTCTGTCATTCTGCCTGACTTGTAATTTGAAAACTTGGCAGTGTTTTGGTGACCTAACCATGAGCTGATGAATGAGTGACTTTTTAAAAATAGTGTGGACGTCTTAAGTGGCAAGGTGCCTCTGCAAGATTGTTCTCATTTTTATAGGTTTGGTTTGATTGTACAGCTTCTCAGGAGGCCTAACTGACCCTCACTGATTAGCCCTGTGCGGTTTTCCTGGAACCTGGCATCTACTCTGCCCACTTGGGACAGGCCCTTCCTTAACACTGCCCCCCACCTCAATCCTCTAGGCTCTTTGATCCTCATTCACTTTTCGGCCTCACGTGCTCAAGCCAGGATACTTGCTTTTGGTAATTTGCATTTTTATATTTTGCTGGATATCCCTGGTGTACATGAATATATTTGGGGGTAAAGACCCAGTTATCAACTAGAAAATACTCTGCTTTTATTGTGAGTGAATTACAGAGAGGGGGATTTTTTTCACTAGACGTACTTTGTCCTTTTATTTTAAACAAGTTAAAAATTTATCTGGAAGTTCTGGAAAAGAGATGGTAGGTGTAGAAAAATGAAAGGTGGGAAGCTACAAATAGTAATTTTACCTATAAATTTACATCAGTGCTTTTGTTTTGTTTTTGCAATGAATTTAGCTCCTTGATAATCTTGCTGAAAGAGTAGCTATTAGTGTTAAAGCAGACCTAAGGTTAATAGCAAAAGGTTAAAAAAAAAAAAAAAAAAAAAAAAAAGGAGAGGGACAGTGGGACAGTGTATCCAGGAAAGAGAGTGGGGAAAATTGATGTTAGTGGGACCCTATAG